TCCTATGGTCTGCTTTAGTATATGGAGTACCTCCTTCAATTAGAGATTCTAGAGACCCTTAAACATTTTCAGGGGACTTCTCAACCTTGTGACATGATCTGTAGAAGAGGTTTGTTGTTTTTTTTTTAGTTGGAGCGCCCTCTGCTGTCTTTCTGTACTACTGCAGACTCTACTGGCCTTTATGTTCCCAGGTGCAAACAGGTCATCCACTTCAAAACTAAAATGCCCTCTCTTTGCATCCACTGTGATTTAAAGCAGACAGATATCACTAAACAGGCAATGAGACCATTCTCCTCTTTGTTCCAGAGATGTGTTTGGGGTTAGATGGCCCTGCCATGGAATACCCTTCAGCCCTCAATCAGAAAATGGGTGGATCCTGTAGGAAATGTCCAGAAAAGCTGATTGTTTTCCAGAGACAGTGATAAATCTCATTTTAGTTCTATGTGTAGTTCTGACAAATGCCTACTTATTCCATCTTATCCACTGTCTGTCTAGAACAGAAATTTCTAAACTCTGGCAGATAAGAATTATCTGGGGGGAATTATCTACTTCTCTTAGGTGCCTGGAGTATTTTGGGCAGATAAAAACAATGTAAATAACATAGTAGACAATTACATTTGAGACCAAAAATGCAACCTGAGTCAGAAAAGAAGGACCTGTGGTGTTGGGATGGTGGACAAAGCTTCTCAGTGGAGCTGAGACTTGTCATGACTTACAGGATCATATGATTCATGTAGAAGCTAACTGACATCTAGGGGCCACACGGAACCCACAGATTGCACTCAAGGGAGCCCAAATGAGGGGAAGACCCAGTAGCTGAATCCTCTTGAAGGAGAATCTAGGTTGGCCTTTGCCCAGATAACCTATTGATTTTTTTTGTCTTGATTTTGAAGATTGAGAAGACAGAAGAGATCCATCACCAATTCCAACAGGTTTTGACTGAAATAAGCAAACTCACTAATGATTATGAACTGAACTTAGCCAATAGGCTGTTTGGAGAAAAAACATTCCTCTTCCTTCAAGTAAGTTTGCTGTGTCCACCACATCTGTGAGTGTTAGTTTGAATGGCCAAGTGACCATCAGGACTGTGGGTTGGCTAAGACCAAAAGGACTAAGTTGGCTGCTTGGTTCTACCCATATCACTGATGGTCTGTGCCCCAGACATTTATTTTTAACTCTGGCATTCTGAGCATGATTTTTGCCTTAATCCTCTTACATCTGCATAAAATTGTGTGTGGAGGCATTTAAAGTGATTTTCCAGGGAATTCAATGTTTTTTTTTTTTTTAACCTTAATCATCCTGATCAACTGGTACTTTTATTGAGACCTGTTGGTAATTGACCAATTGACTATTAAACTCCTCTCTATATCTTTCCTGTTTTTCCTAAAGAAATACTTAGATTATGTTGAAAAATATTACCATGCATCTCTGGAACCTGTTGATTTTATAAATGAAGCTGATGAAAGTCGAAAGAAGATTAATTCCTGGGTTGAAAGTCAAACAAATGGTAGAGTATGGGTGGGTCGTTGGTCATACAAAGACTTTTTGACTGTCTTCTGTGAGTGGAGGCCTGGGCTTGGTTCTGCGTGGGAGCCAGGTGGACACTCTAGAAAGGGCTTGAGATGGGGTTTGCAGGGTTGAACAGGCAGGGCTGGGCATAAAGGGGAGGACACTGCAGATAGTGAAATGGACACAGCAAATGGGGAAACTCAAGGGGAACCCAGGAGGGGACCCTAGGAAGCAGCTGTGTGGAGACCCTTGGAGGACTCTTGGCACTCGGCTGTGTATCAGAGTACCATTGGGGTTCCTGGAACTGGGCTCTTGCCTGTCTTGAGTATATTCTTTCCTGCATATCACAACATCTCTGTTTGTGTCTGGGTCCCTAAGTGCAAATGTCACAGAGAGTTCCCTTTCCCTTTGTTAAGAGAGAAGCACACAGCTCTCCCATCAAGACTGACTCTGCTACCTACAGCTGGGCCACCTGGGCCTCATCTCCACTTGGGCATCGTACAGGGAGGATGCAATGCTCAGTCCCATCTACATCAGAGAATTGGATGAATTCCTCTCCCCTCTATCCCCTTCTCATTCCCTAATATGGCTCAAAAACACGAGAAATACTGGAAAGGAAAGTTAATGTGGAGATTCACTTTGGGAAACAATAGCTGATATTTAGCATTTTTTATTCCATTTTCAGGGAGATTGCTGTTATTACAGAATGCGCTTCTTTTTCATGCTTCATTTAAAGAAAGAAACTTAAAATAATCAGAATATAAGGGGTCTTTCAAAAGATTGGCTGAACAGTGTTTTCAGAGTGTAGTGTGGGATGGACTGAACCCAGAGCCCCAAATATCAGTTGCATTTTTCATAGAATAAGCAAACTCTCAACCTCTCTTGGGAGCCATATTTACTAGGGAAGAGAGGTTGCTCACCAAGTGCTTATGATGTGCCAGACAGTGTTTGAGGCTTTCTACATATTAAATCACTGACTCCTTCCAACAACCCTGTGAGGCAGGTTTTATTCCTATTTTACAGATGTGGAAACTGAGGCACAGAGAGCTTAAATAACTTGCCCAAGATTCCTCAGCTGATAAGAGGCAGAACTGGATGCCATCAGAGGCAATCTGACCCCAGAGGCGGGACTCTTAACCATCAACCTCAATTTATCCAGTGGGATAAATAGGCGATGGGCAGAGTGACAACCTCCCCACCGATTCTGCAGCGAACGCATTGTCGGCAAGGCCTTCAGGTGCTGACCTGGCTGAATTTTCAGTAATCAGTCAAGGCTGTCTGCTTGCTATCTGCCACACATACCATCTTTGATCTGGAAATAGACCAATCTTTCCTTTTTTTTTTTTTTTTTTCTGTTTGCAGAAAAAATCAAGGACCTGTTTCCAGAAGGCTCTCTTAGTAGCTCTACCAAGTTGGTGCTGATAAACACAGTTTACTTTAAAGGACAGTGGGATAGGGAGTTTAATAAAGAAAATACCAAGGAAGAGGAATTTTGGCTGAATAAGGTATGGTTCTTTATTTACGTGATGTGCTTTCACGTGGAGTATAAGATCTGAAGTCATATTTGAGCAAACATACACCGGTGGCAAATGGCCCTTCTGTGACTGATCTTTAGCATCATTATTATCTGATTACTTCAGTGAGCTAGCTTGTTGCCTGTGCCTTTGGTCTAATGTCTTTTGACATCCTGTGCTCTGTTAACTTGTTGCAGAATACATGTAAGTCTGTGTGGATGATGGAACAGCACCATTCTTTCAGTTTCGTTTTCCTGGAAGACTTGGATGCCAAAATCGTGGGGATTCCATATAAAAACAATGACCTCAGCATGTTTGTGCTTCTACCCAATGACATAGAGGGTCTGGAGAAGGTAAACCCCTTGGTCCCTACTGTGCTTTCCTTTCCTAAGTTT